GGGGGGGGGGGGGGGGGGGGGTGTCCAAAAATCGTAATCTAGGACAGACCCAATAATGGACTCTTATAAATTTAAATGCTACTTTGTGATGAATTTGATAAAGGATAATATCATTTGAAAATCAGAGTTAGAAATTCTAAGTTCACCCAATAAAACAAATAACCCCTACAATAAATCCCCTAGTCCCTGCTTCGGTTAAGCTAACTTCTATCTATGTTCCTTCAAATTTGTTAGTTTGTAAATAAATAAAATCTGACACCTTGGAGCAGGGGTGTCTTGTGCACTGAAAAAGTCTGGAGCAATCCATTTTGAAGACCGACTGCTCTGCAAGCTGTCCATTTATTCTGAAAATAATATAACAATCAGAAAAGGGGGGTCCAAAAATCGTATACTAGGACAGACCCAAAATTTTATTATAAAGATTTTTCACCATAGGTAAAAACAAAGATTAAAAAAATGTTTTCACACTAAAAAGCTTATTAACGTTTTTGTTCACAAAACCATATTGTTCGCGCCATATTTCACATATAAGCATTTTTGACTATAACTCTGATTTGTACTGCAAAAAAATATGTAATAACTTCAGTGTTAATAATAATAGCTCAAAAACACCAAGTTGACTCAACGTCGTTGACCTTTCCTAGGATTTTATTAAATAAATCGTTAAAATTTAAACCCCTCAAATTACAGGTAAAAATGAAGCGTAAACTGGACGCGGCAATGAACTATTGAAAAATAATAAATTGTTCGGTAATATGTTTTAAAGGATCCTTGTTCTACGTAGTCTTTTATCGAAGATGGTGTATTTTTCGACCTACGCAAATCTGCTATACTTCACTTCTGACCTACGCCAAATCCGCTATGCTACACAGTACACATCTATTAGCACGTGGTTTTACAGCTGTTATTTGGACTTGAGGCTGCAGCGCCCGGCCCCCTAGATGTCCTAGCCGTGGAGCTCGCCCCCTAGCATGTCCTATAGCCCCAGCGATCGGCCCAGAAATTGTCTTTACCTACATATAACCTAACCCTCTAGTAATACAAAAATAAACAGTTGGCGTAGGTCCGATATTGCAGTAGGTCGGAAAGTTAGTAGGTCAGAAGTTCAGTAGGGGGGATGTTATGTGTAGATGTAACATTACCTTTATGAAAAGACCTACTTTTTTATGTAAATATTATCTACCTTTTAACACCAAGATAAAATCAATTTATTAGCATTTGCGGTTTGTTTACTACAGAGCGTCCCATATCAAATAAGATTATCTCCAATCTTTAACGCCAAAATAAACCCTTAATACTCGAAAAACTTATCATTTTTGCAAGAAAATTCTTATATAAGCCTTATGTTATTTTTTAAAATCATTCATTCTTATTAAATTTTCTGATTAGTCTCTAAAATTGCAATTTAGACCCGTTGACGGTCTAATATGATGTGGGACACCCTGTATTTGATGGTCTGTGGTTTGCTCAATAATCTAGCACGTAGCAACAATATTTGAATCCTAAAAGTATTTTTTTTTTTTTTAACTGCGTAGATACATAATTCAGCTAGAATAAAGCTGTAATGGCCGACATTTATTTTATCTTCATTTCAAGGAAGACATTTCATTTCTGTGAAAATAAGAAAAGGGAACAAGTTAATACAAGAATAAAGGAGATAAAATTATATTTATGCAATTTTTCATTAAGTAATTAGAAATTTCGCTAATTGCTTCGCTGCACTCCATTTTGTCTGACACATATTTCTTAGTTTTAAATCTCTTGTTCTAGAATAAAATGAGTACTACTGAGGTAGATCCTAGAGTAGAATGGTGTATGAAGATCATGGATCAAGAAGGAATGGACATGGAGTCGGAGGTGAGAAATTATGAATGTCTGAAAAGATCTTGCCAAATTGTATAATTTCAAACATACAATTGAACTGTTGTGTTCTGACGGATTTGTGGCACTTTACGATTAATATTTTCTCTCTCTCGTAGGTGATGTACTTGTCCGCACCAGTTACCCTTGGAGCTACACCAGCAGCAACTATTGCTATTTCTAACTTTGTCTACAGGCTACCAATTAAGACAAGTAAGCTATGAATTACAATTCAAATTATTAAACTAGATTCAAATTCTTTAGAAAAAATATCGTATTATCAAAACAATCGAAATTATCTCATAAAAAGATTATTTTTGTTTAAATTATGAAGATGTTGTTATTGTTACTGATTTGGTTTTGATTTCTTTATCACTGATATTTTATTGGTATCGTTCAAGCTTAAGGTTGTGTTACCGCTATTACTAATGGTAATTGTTGTTTAAAATTGTTGTTATTGTGATTGTTACTGTTATTGCTTTTTTGTTTTTGTAATTGAAGGAACTGTCATAATTTTAAGTACCACTGGCCTTTATTTAAGGAATTACATGTCTGATTTCCTACGGTACCCTTTTAAAACCTTAATATTACCAATAATGTGGAAGATATCATCGTATATATTTAGCTAGTAATATGTTTATTACTGATAATATCTCATCCCTTGCTTCTGTAGTAGAAACCACAGTTGAAAATAATCAGCTTTCCAAAATTAAAACATGGATCAGACAACGCTTTTAAGGGTACCGTTGTGAATCAGAAATCCCCTCCATAAATGGAGAGTAATGTGAAAATAGGTCTGCACAGTTCCGATTAACAACGGTACTGTTGTTTGTTCGTCGTGTACAAAGATATGTGTGTGTAAAGTTACCTTAACGCTTACAGTCAACTGAAAATGTCGGTGTGTGCGAACAGTCAACTCAATACAGCCGCAGCGTCCACCGTTGTAAATCCGGCTTTCCCCTCTTGGCATAGAAGGTCACTTTACAGTCCCTTTAATGTTATGGTTTTTATCCTCTTTGTTTATGATAAATATTCTCTAGATATGGGAGCTGCTATTCTGGCAACCCCTATAGCATTTGGTTGTGGTCTGTTGGTGAAAAGGTGGAGGGAGAATATAAATAGAGAGAATATGGCGACCATGAAGGTGATCACAAATCATTATACAACGGGACCCATAAAACTGAACATAAAGCACATTTATGTACACTGTACACAGACCTATTTTACTTATCAAGTTGATTTAACCAGCACCAAACACGAACGCTTAAAATGTCGTCTTCATATTTCACAATTTAATGGGTATTCCTGTGGCCGAATTTAAAGAATTTGAGCGGCGGTTAAGATTTAAGCCGCGGCTTAAATATGGTTGGTTCCACTTAAAATTGTATCATATTTTTCAAGATGTAAGCCGGCGCCAAATTTAAACCGGGTTTTGGCGGATTTTGGCGGACTTAAACCGCGGCTCAAATTCTATAAATTCCATCTCTGTATTTATAACAACAAAATATCAAACAACTTATTGTTTAAGGTCATTCTAAAGAATCTAAGATAATAGTTTTAATTGTATTTCATGTATGTTCGCCTGTTTTAAGTGTGCTTTATTTTTACTCTGGCTTAACAAACAAAAAATCAAACATTTGACACTTAAAATTTTGGTATGCCTTAGAAATAAAAGTTTTCACGTTGTATTAAAATCTCATTTGAAAAGAATATATCATTATCTTAAACATCTGATGTTCTCGAAGAAGATAATAAAAATTAAACATATAAAAGGAAAATTGTTTATTATCCTTTTAGATGCATTTTTACGCATAACACCTTATTTCCGGAGAAAAAAAATTTCATGAGGGGGGGGATATACAGTGTACGGTGTAATCTGAGAGGTCAAAGAGTTGTAAAAGCTTTTGACTGTTGAGAGATCTGATGTAAAGAAATATATTATTTGTTTGCCAATTCTAATTAATATTTAATTATTGTATTGCAGCACTACATCCTAACCCACCCTGAGAGATCTGATATAAAGAAATATATTATTTGTTTGCCAATTCTAATTAATATTTAATTATTGTATTGCAGCACTACATCCTAACCCACCCTGAGAGGTTCCCTGAACCCAAGAGAACCAAATATATTGATCTCATCGAACCCTGGAATGCTGGAAGGCTCTAAAAGTCGTGGCAGGATCTAGTGGGCGGAGCTTCATCTGTACGTGGGCGTGTCTCCATCTTTACGTAGTCATAAATTTAACTTTAGTTGTTCATCTCTTGAAGAATTTAAAAATAATATAAAAATTTTCAGTTACAACGTGAAAACAATAATAAATTCGTGTAAAAATAGTTAATAAATATTGAACTATGTTTCATGATTAATATTTCAGAAAAATGGCGAATACTCGGTCCAAACCTAAACGAATAAATGACATTATAAACTGGGAGACTGTTGATGATGTTGACAAGGTTTGTTCTTATTCGACATCCTTTAATTTTTTCATTAAAATTTTTTAAGTTTTTTTATTTTTTGCAACGTAAAATTGTATAGCCTCTGAAATTTAGCCAATGAAAGCTTGTCTATTGAAGGGCACATAAGGTAATGAATATTTGTTAACCACCACAATGCGTTAAAACCCCCCCCCCCCCCCCAGCTTTGAAACTCCATATTATTATTTTATTGAGATCTTTAGAATTGATAATCTTATATTCGAAACAATTGAATTGCCCAGTTCATTATTAAGACCAAACAAAGTGGTTAATTTATCTATTATATTGTGCCAATGACACTTCTTATCCAAATACTTCTTCCCTGCAAACATTTAGTTTCCGACAAACCGATGGCGAACATAAAAAGTCCAGAAATATTTACCGGCCAACTTCGCCATCGGCACATAAATTCAGTAAAAATGTTTCCCGGGTTCATAAATTAGAGAGGGTTTAACTAATTTTAATAATATTTATTTGAAATAAAACGCTACTTAAAACGCTACAAACCAAATAAAATTTAATTTTGATCAGTACTATTTTGGCATTTGCAAATTAATTATCTTCCAAAAACATTTATTAATTACACAATACAACATCTGAAGAAGACCTGAACTGAGTTCAGAGTTATTAAATTAAATATTTATTATTCTTTTTAAAAATAAATGCAAGAATAAATAGATTAAACATCGGCGTTTAAAATTTGTACTCTCATCTGGTTTTGACTCCAGGCTGCTATCTACACGATGGTGCGTGGTGCCCTTAAGGCAGTCTGGGGGTTACACTTTGGGTTCCCTTTCAGATTTAAACTTGATTGATTGAAATATAAAAACAAATATAAAACAAGGTTTCAAATAGGCGGCTTTTACTGATTTTTTTTTAGCTTTTAAATATAGCTTTTAAAGCCTTTTATTATTTCTTCGTAAATAATATTAGTGTGTATCCGAACCTCCCAGAGGATGGGACTAGGGTGTCAGCAGAGCTTTCTAAGCCTGTTGAGGGAAAGGGCACTAAGTGCGTTGTACTAGATATAGTAGTCTAGATATCAAGGTCACAATATAATATTTTTATAGGATCTGAGGCCGAATTTAAATAATTTGAGCCCCGGCTCAAATATGATTGGTTCCACTTAAAATTGTATTCAATTTTTAAAGATTTAAGCCGGCGCTCAATTGAAACCAGTTTTTGGGGGATTTGGGACGCGGCTTAAATTGATTTAATTCAGACACTGTACCCAAAGATTTAAAAGTTTTTAAAATTGTTAAAAAATATGTAAAATATAAATCGTAAATAAACAAATGTCGCATAAACCATTCCTGGGATCATGTATGGTCATTGGTCCCGTGCCCTTCTTAAAATGGGACTGATCACTTTTTCCGTTTTAATGCTTACTGGATATAAAGAAACCAACAAATGCTTTCACAGGAGATTTATTTTCTTGAATATGCCTTTAGATGTCCATTTTTTCCCCTATATTTGTTAAAAATGTATTTTTAAAAATGATACACCCCTGTATTTCTAGGAGTGCGGTGAATCCCGAGGTTTCCTGCTCCGTGATGTTCTCAACACCGACAAGTTCGAGGACACCAAGGAGACGATGATAGAGGTAAATGCACTGGAAACTAGTGATATGCATTTAGTTGATTCGCTTTTGGGTCCTTTATTTTACCATTTTTTGCCTTTCAGGCCCAATATTTGGCAAAGCATAAGAAGAGCAAATGTTTTCAAAAAAATTTTCTGACAATTTTTTAAATTTTAATCTAACAGAAAATAAATGCTGAAAACTACCCAAAAACGTGCAAAAACCAAAGTTGTATAACGATCGTTTTTGGATTGATTAATTATTTGGATCGTTTTTTCATTTTTTAGAATAAATAAATTGCAAAGTTTATCAGAGCAACTTTTGACAGATATTTGAAATCTTGTAATTTCAGTAAATCTTTTCTAAAATTTAAACACCACTTAAACACACATAAAAGTCCAAACTGAAAATTTCCAGCTTTCTCTTGTGACAAACATTTTCTGTTTCTATTTTGGCCTGAATTATCCTGTAATTCTGCTTTCCGGTAATTTTTTTTTCATTTCCGGAATGGAGTTTTTTCGTAATAGTAGAAACATATAGATTTTAAAATTCTATTATTTGAATAAACTCGTTGGGTTTTATCTTTCACGTACTTATCTATCTATCTAAATATGCTCGTTCAGTCTGCTAAACTTGAGCACTCTGTGGTAATAAATAGGTGTACTGATTAGCATTACGCAAGGCCCTCAACTTATGAGTTGGTTGAGCTCTCTGGTCACTATTTCACAACGCAATCACCAGGGTTTGATGGAGCAGTGGTTAGCGTGTTTAATTCATAATCTAAGGATTTATGGTTCAAACCCCGCCAACTGCAAAATCAAAAACTGATGAATTTTGCCACACTGATGAGTCCTAATAGGACGAAACACGGTGTCTATGAATATCTATCTATCTTTCTAGATCTACCTATCTAGGAATTGTATTGAGAAGATCTAACTGTGGCATAAATGCAGAAACCTGGCTTTATAAAACTATCCTATCTATCTTTCTATTGATCTATCTATCTATCTATCTATTTAAACTTGATGATTGATTGATTTATCTTTCTAGGAATTGACTGGAGAAGACCTAACGGTGGCATATATGCAGAAATCTGGATTTATAAAGCCAATCCTTGTCAAACAGAGGGATAATCTAGGTCTAACCATTCCACCAGAGTGAGTTTTTTTTAAACTTAGCTTATAAATCCACCAGAACTTTTTATCTGATTCTGTAGTTGAAAACTTCATCTGGCATTTTTAATGTATTACGCAGCTACAATCTTTAAAATCACAATCAGAATTTATATTTTAATTAAGATTCACATTTGTTTTCTTATTTTTCTTAAACGATCCTTAAGCAACCCCCTGAGATAATGACATGTAAGCAATCTTAATTTTTAGCAAAATGAATGTGCACAAGAAAACTTACAAATGTAATATTGGATCCGCTAGACTAGGAGACACGGATCCAAAAAAATGAACAGTTTACAGTACAGAATTTTGAATTTTTAAAAATGTAGATGAAATCTTTAGTCAGGGCTGTGGTGAAGAAGTAAAACTGAGAAAGAATTTATTCTAAACAAGCTCTTTATTTAAAAGAAAAAGCTAGACACCTGTAATTCTTGATAGCTTAAAATTGAATGTCTTGACAACTACAAATGGAATGACATGACAGCTGTAAAGTGGAATTAAAGTAAAAAAGGTTCAATAACCCTTTATTTAAGGTTTCACTCCAGAGAGTTTGGAGTTGAATCAATTCGAAGTTATATTGGATCCAGGTAGAATAGCATGTGTTAAAGGGAGTGTTCGCGAAAAATGAAAGGGGGTATAGGCTTAATGCGATAAAAAAGCGCTTTTAATCGCTACTAATCTTACTTCTATTTGTTGCGTCTATAAGGAGAAAATTGTTAAATACTTCTCATACCGAATAACATGGCGTCCATACAAATTGAAAAAATTGCAACATACAACTTAGACCGTAAAAAATCTATTTAATTTCAAACAAATCATTCAGATATTACAACCTAAAGTCATCGATTATCTTTCGCCACATTTGTATATATTTGATATTTCATACTAGTTTTGATTTTGTTTTTTAAAATAATAATTAGCTTACAACTTGTTTTCGAACATTCCTGGAAAATATTAAAATGTCGTCTTCATTACCAAAACAGGAGTAAATGTTTTTATAAGTAACTCTCAGATCATAACAATTAAAACATATTATGAAAAATCAACTATATATAAATTTGGCGAAAGATAATCGATGACTACAGGTTGTAATATCTGAATGATTTGTTTGAAATTAAATAGATTTTTTTACGGTCTAAGTCGTATGTTCCAATTTTCTCAATTTGTATGGACGCCATGTTATTCGGTATGAGACGTCTTTAACAATTTTCTCCTTATAGACGCAATAGATAGAAGTAAGATTAGTAGCGATCAAAAGCGCTTTTTTATCGCATTAAGCCTATACCCCCTTTCATTTTTCCCGAACACTCCCTTTAATTGGTTGATTAGTTTCAGGCTGATTTATTATTGACATTATTGACCCGATTTATTAATAATTAGCTAATTAACTAATAGATTTACTAATTTATTAATGAAATGACCGCTAAACCTAAATTTTGGAGCAGTGCTTAGGATTGGCTTTCTGGATCCGAAAATATGCAGGACCACCGATCCGGATGAAAGAGTCAAAATATTAACAAAAGTCTATCATAAGAAAAGTTTTTGCTCTCAAACCCCAAATCTGAACTGTTAAAAAAGAGGAAGCTTTAAAAATTTCCTTTTCTCTTTAATAATGTTTATAAAGTTATAGCAAAAAATAAGCAAAAAAAAGAGGAAAACAAATTCTGAAATTCTTCTTTAGTTTAAAAAATTGGTAAATCTTTAATAAATGTCCTTAACCTGGATCCGGATCCGGATCTATTTTTTTAGTGCAGGTCCAGGATCCGGATCCTCATCAAAATCCGGATCCTCCAGATTTATAGATGCATAGTTAATAAATAGATAGTTAAATGATTGATTTATTGATTGGTAGATTAATTTAATTGATATTATTATTTGAAAATTTGATGTTAAAGGCGTATTGTTGATGCACTGGATACGAAAACACAGAAGACCAAATCGATGACCATGCGGGTAATAAGATAAAAAATAAAAAGATCATTTTTCAATTCTATTTTTTGAATATTTATCTCTGAATAATAAATTATCTTCCTTCAAGAAAAAAAAAAGAAACGGAATTTGAGTTTCTATGAGTGCCTTATTTAGATTTGGTTCCCCTACATTTCATTTAAATTCCCCTTTATGTCAAGAAATGATTATATATAAAATTCTAAATTTGCCCTTTGACTTAATTGTCTTTTTTATCTATTTATTGTAGTTGATTTCTTTTTTGTTTAATTTTTCATTCCAAATTTAATGATTAAACAAACAGTGTTCAATATTAGAAAACTGCTTGGGTTTTTAAAAAATGATAAAGAAAATGTTTTGAAATTGTACAATCTCTATTTTCAGCAATGGTGCTCTTTTTGGATCACTTTTCCTAGGTTCGCATTATTTAAATATGTCAATATACATTTTGTCCATCTCTTGAATCAGTTTTTACTGCTTCAAAAATCCTTAAAATTTTGGCTTCCTGGATCCGATCATTAAAACCAGTGTTTCGGATCCATATCATTTTGATTCGGATCCGGATCCGCGGATCCGCATCCGTGATGATGGATCCGGATCCTGATACGGATCCGGATCCTGATACGGATCCGGATCCGAGGTAACTTTTGATTCTGTGAATCGGATTTTCCCTATTAAATGTTATGCAAGGTTATAATTTATAAACTATAGTAATCCTAAAGTTAAAAATGTCGTCATTACTATTATATAAATGTAAACATTAAATTATTAAAGATAATTTTGAAAAATTTTCGTCATGTAAATAATACATTTACGAACCATTTTGATTTATTTATTCCATGGTTTTGGTTAATTTTTGGCGCTACCCGGATCCATTTCAACGTTTTCTGATACGGATCCGGATCCGACCAAATGATACGGATCCGGATCCGAAACACTGATTAAAACTTAATAATCTTTAATAATAATTAAACTTAATAATGTTTTGAATGCATTAGAAAAAGTGAGAAAAAAGGTTGAGCATTCTTAATCTCATCAAAAAATCAGTTAATTCTGAAGAAATAATCATGACCTGGATCCGGATCTTTATAAGGACGATATCAGGATCCGGATCCGGATCCGCAATAAAAAGAAATGGATCCTTTAAGCACCACTGTGTAAAATTTTGAAAAGACTTTAGATTAAAAAATAAAGAATTAATAATGTTAAAGGAAACAGATTCTGAACGGAATTAGTTTAGAATTCTCATTAACCAAACTAGATGCTCAAATAATATCACCAAAGATAGTAAGACAGGTCAGTTTTTTATTTAACTTGGTATTTAAAGGGACTGTAAACGTATTTTGATGGGATACCCCAGGCAAAGATGGCAATGTCCGATTTACAAAAATACACTTCAAACCTTTATCTGAACAATATGGTGGAAGATATGTCGTTTTTTTTCTAGGCTAGAAAGTGCAAATTTCTGATAATTTTCCAGCAGTTTTCCAGCAGTAGAAATGCGCAAGTCACTTTTGTAGAGAAACTAATTGTAAGCCAAAATTTTCAGAATTAAAGTTGATTTTTTGAAAAACCTCTTTGTTTTTAAAAAAGTAAAATGCCGTTAAGTTCTGTGGGATGATGTAAAATGTTTCGGTCTACCGTAAAATCCAGAGATAACTTGAAGGATGCTCGAGGGGAGGAAAGCTTAAGCTGCCAACTTTTCCAGAAGCAATTCTGAGTTGAAGCATTTTTCGAAATGTCTTATTTAAAAAAATAAATAATCTGTTTGCAGATTATAAACATTCGTTTGAATCAGGCGTTGCCATCTTTGTATAAAGCCCAGGGTCACTTACTTATTCTTTAAACCCTTAAGTCATAAACTAGCTTCTTTAATCTCAAAAGCATTTTAACTGATCTGAATCCAGTTTTTTTTTTATCAGAAAAACCAATAACTATTGATCTAGATTTAGTTTAATCTGGAAACCTAATAAATTGATCTGGAAACCAGATTTATTTAAGATTATGATGCTACTGTTGCGGAATGCTGGTGTTTCTGATATTTATGATCCTGATAAGTGATAATGACGATACTTATGATGAAAATGATGCTATTGATCATGATGCCGATGATTCTGCTGATAATGCCAAAGACTAAAATGCTACTGATGATACTGATATTAATATTTAGATTGATTGGACTGAGAAGGCGTGGCCGAGACACCTGAAAGAGATGCAGAAGGAGTACACCAACAACCTGGATGAGATGATGTATCCTAAGGAAGAAAAAATTCAATATTTTTACTTTAAATTTTCACTTTAAAATTTCACTTTGGATCTGCAACATTTAGATCTCCAATGTTGATGCCCTGGATCCGAATCCCTTTATTGGGCAGATCCAGAATCCGGTTCCGCATCATAATGAAATGGTGTCTATCACTGAAGAATAAAAATTCAAAATAGTATTTTTTGTTGAATAATAATTTGAAATTTAGAATTTTTTGCAATTAGGTTCAAAAGTTCGTAATTATGTCTGTAGCTTCCAGCTATATGGATTTCCATATTGATTTTGGTGGCACCTCTGTTTGGTATTATCTACTTAGGAAAACTTAGAAAAAATATCTTACAGAAACAGATTTTTTACTGTATTTTTACCTTTTTAAAATTTCTTAGGGAAACCGATTTTTTCATTTTTGAACCTATTAAGTTTTCTTTACAGAAAACATCGGATGGAAACAAAATGTGCACCGACTAGTTCCTTCAAATTGGGTAATTTTTTCGGGAAGGTTTGTTTGTTCTAAATGATGTTTTTAGTTTGCAGTATTTATCCTAAGATTTTGTATGTAGAGGACTGAAAATATTCTGGTTGATACCGCCCACTGATAAAAATCTAAATCTTTACAAGGAAAAGCAAACATTGTATTAAAACGCCTTTATAATAATAATAATAATAATAATTATAACATTAAACAAACAATTAATTTTTCTCATAAAGGACAAATCTTAAGTGTTGACTTATGAGAATTACTGCAAAATGTCCGCAAAAAGAAGCAAAACTTACAGACGATTTTTTAATTAAAAAATATTAATGATCAGAATCCAGATAATTTTTTTAACTAGGCTTTCAGAGCGCTTCTAACCCCTCTTAAAGCAACAATTTTAGTGTTTAAATGTTGCTTTTCAAGCAGCAATTTTTTCTTCGTAATTGTAAAACTCAAAATTTTGCGGATTTATCTGATGTAAAAATATCGACATTTTTTCCAGGCAAAAGGGCCCAGCAGTTTTGACGTTTATCGGATATAGAAATCCAGACAAACAAGTCAGATTTATAGATAGACGACGAATCCGAATCATAATGAAATCGATCCTAAAAATCCTTTAAAATGTTTGTGGTTGGTTAGGCTTGGGTTAGAGGAGAGGTTGATGCCAAGTTCTTCGGAGATATAGCTGAGGGATGTTGTAGACTAGATCTGGTTTCAGGTTATACAGATATTAAATTTTACAAATATGTTGGAAAGAAATTACAAAAAAATTGATCCGTTTCTTATACATTCATCATATTATGTTTGGGATTTCTAGACTATGAAGAGGCTCTTCAAAAATCATAACAAATTCTTAACATATTTTAAAATCGTCTATTCTAAAAGTTTACTTTTAATAAACTTAAAAAGTAACTAAGAATAAACTTTAGGGAAAATGTAAGATTTGAGGAGGACATATATTAGAGGTAGCTTCTGCTTGCTATTCAAAACTACATTTTCTTTTCTGTTTTATATCAAAATCTAATTTTTTATTTTATGTGTGCTTCTAGGGAACACACTGTTTATACCCTCGGGTTGGATTCATGCCGTTTACAGTGTCAAGGATGCCATAGCTTTCTCTGGGAGCTTTCTCCATAGCTTTAGCATTGAAAACCAACTCAAGGTTTGTTTTTAGCTTTCTCCAATCTTCATATCTTTAGCATTGAAAACCAACTAAAGGTTTGTTTTTTAGCTTTCTCCATAGCTTTAGCATTGAAAACCAACTAAAGGTTTGTTGTTTAGCTTTCTCTATAGCTTTAGCATTGAAAACCAACTAAAGGTTTGTTTTTTAGCTTTCTCCATAGCTTTAGCATTGAAAACCACTTCAAGGTTTTTTTTAGCTTTTTTCATAGCTTTGGCAAAATATGAATAACTGCTAAAAGATGTCAGTGCGGATCTAGGATCCGCATCTCAATTAAATGGATCCTAAGCACTTGTTTTAACTTTTGTTCCCTGCTCATAGTCCAAAATGTTGCAGGTGAATTATGTAGAGGAGAGTCTAAGAGTCCTGAACAGTCATCGGTTCCCTTTCTTCACAGAGATGTTGTGGTAAGAATTCATATAACAATTCCTTGCAGTTTCTGTGTTAAAATAGATTTATATATTTATCAAAAAGGTTTGATATTTAAAAATGAAAATTATGTTTAAACGAGAGGCTGATCTGGAAGTAAACCTGAAAAATTTAGAAAGCTTTTACTTTACTTCTCGCATTGTTTTTTTTTCTTCTCAAAACTCGTTTATTTTTAGATTTTGATTATATGGTTATTTATTTTCATGACAGTCTCTGTCCTAACGTTTAATTGTTCCCCCTTGTACCTAGGTATGTACTGGACCGGTATGTTAGCTGTTTAATTGTTCCCCCTTGTACCTAGGTATGTACTGGACCGGTATGTTAGCTGTTTGACCGGAAACTCCTGCCTCGACCTACCGGAAGACGAAAAGAAAAGAATGAGATTAGAACGAGGTTTATAAACTTTTTTATTATTTACCATTTCACGAAGGCCATGGCGATTCACACAGAACTAATTTTTACCCATGTCTTTGTAAGATTGACAATGAAGACGGACAAGTTTACTTTGTTTGTACACAGGCATTTTCTTGTTCTCTGAACACAACAGTCTGCAATCAAAACATAAACAAACAAATTATGAACTCTACCAGCTTCCTATCACTAAACTGAATAAAAATTCATTTATAAAAAACCGATCTCGAAATCGTCACTCAATTCCAATGCTCATTGGGACACCCTGTAGCTGTAAAAGGCCTGTAGAATTAGTTAGACGTAATTTCTAACCTCTATTTATTATTGAGTAGCATGCCTGATTCATATTTTTATTTTTTAAACTAGGGAATTTATCCTTCAGAAATCAATTGATAACAAAAAGATTTACAGGGTGTTGTTGTGACCCGAGGTCCTCTTTAAATCTTGACTTTACAATGACACTGTCCCTTTACATATTTATACTTTTGTAGGAGATCACATAGATCCTAATAAGGAGTTCTTGTATCCTGGATTAGTTGGGGAGGCACCTAAACCACCTTTAAAACATGTTCATCTCACCCAGGTGAGTAGAGGAAGGGAGTATATGGTCATTAGGAAGTTAAATGGATTGAATGGTGAAGGACGCGGATATGTTAATTATTTATATTATTTATTATTTAGGAGGAAATCCGTGGACTGAAGTTTATCGTCATGTTTCTAGCCAAGGTAAATATATAAATTCTTAAAAATGGAAATATTATTCAATGTTTTACTTATCAGATATATATATATTTTTAATATACTTTTGCCCCTTCTGATCAGGTTTAAAAACCGATATAGGGAATTTAAAAGAAAAATATAGCATTGCTTAAACAAAGGTTTTTTTACAACCTTTTCCTATGAAAAATTATTAAAATACCCTTGTTTTCTATCTAAAGATTTAGCTTTTTATTGTGGTTTGTATATAAATAAAGTTACTTGGGGAGTTTTGCAGAAGAGACAATTAAAGACATGTACTATGTGAACCTCTTGCTTTATAGAAAAATACCATTATCGTTCTCATTCAGAAAATTAGGTTATTTAACTTATTAAATGGAAGTTCACTTGAAACTACGTTGTCAGTCCTTTTATACCATTGAAAATATTTAAAGTATATTCCTGTATATATTAGACCCCAGCGGAGAAGAGATGTGTGCCTGATATTATCCCTGAGCCCGGTAGGCTGGTCAAGTGTGTCCGAGATATAATTAAAGAGCATGAAGACGACTGCCCAGAAGCAGCTGTTACAGGTAATCCTTTGCTAGTGTAGGGTGCCCCTGAAACCTGGGTTAGGATCAGGGTGCCCCTGAAACCTGGGCTAGAGTAAGGTGCCCCTGAAACCTGGGCTAGAGTAGGGTGCCCCTGAAACCTGGGTTAGGATCAGGGTGCCCCTGAAACATGTGCTAGAGTAGGGTGCCCTTGAAACCTAGGCTAGAGTAGGGTGCCTTTGAAACCTGGGCTGAATAGGGTGCCCCTGAATCCTGGACTGAGCAAGATGACTGAAACCTGGGCTGAATAGGGTGCCCTTCAAACCTGGGCTGAATAGGGTGCCACTTAAGCCTGGGCTGCATAGGGTGCCCCTGAAACTTGGGCTAGTGTAGGGTGCCCCTGAAACCTGGGTTAGAGTAGGGTGCCCCTGAAACCTGGGCTAGAGTAGGGTGCCCCTGAAACCTGGGCTAGCGTAGGGTGTCCCTAAAACCCTGGCTAGAGTAGGGTAGGATGCCCTTGAAACCTAGGCTAAAGTTCGATGCCCTTAAAACCTTGGTATGAGTAGGGTGTCCTTAAAACCTGTGCTAGTGTAGGGTACTCCTGAAACCTCGACTAGAGTAGGGTGCCCCTGAAACCTGGGCTTAAGTAGGGTGCCCCTGAAATCTGGACTAGAGTAGGGTGCCCCTGAAACCTGGGCTAAACTAGGGTGTCCCTGAAACCTGGGTTAGGATCAGGGTGCCCATGAAATTTGGTCTACGGTAGGGAGTCCCTTGATCTTTGGTTTAGAGTGCCCCTGAAGGTTATGGTGACCTGAAGTTTATTGAATGAATAAAGTTTGATAAACGAATTAGAATCAACTGTAAAACCCATCTGACATCCCTTGAATTATTATTATTATTACCAGGTACATATATACTACGCTGGACCAAGAAAGACGACGTGGATACAGATATTAGAAAGAGTAAACTAATACCGAAACCAAAAAGGAAAATTAATAATTTGCAAATTATCCAAGATTTCAGATTTTTGGGTTAACTTTATTTGATATGTTCTGTGCTTCTTCAGTTTTCTTGAAAAGGACTGTACGGGCAATTTCAAGGTAACCTACATGCAAAGATGGCTACGGCCGATTTACAACGGTACCCTTAAAAGCTGTTTCTGATCTTGAATGAATTAGAGATCAATGAGTATTATTTTGAAAACTGATTATTTTCAATTATGGTTTCCCTACAAAATTAAATTGACTTGCGCAAATCTACTGCAGCAACAAACAAAAAATATATAAGTTATCAGAATTAAACACTTTAAACCTATAAAAACGACAATATCTTCCACATTATTATTAGATAAAGGTTTCAATGGATCTGTTGTGAATCCGTCATTGCTATCTTTGCATGGAGGATCACTTGAAATCAATGATATTTTTTCTTTCTATAATCTACATAAATTAACATTGGGCAACAACAGATTTGTGTAGGTTTCTGACAAGAAACTTTTTTTTTCAAAAAATTGACTAATTCATAATTTGTGCAACAAAGAAAATTTAGAATATTTGCAAATATTGATTGCACCTCCAGGAAAGTAAAAAGTTGTAAGAATCCGTTTGCTAAAAACCATGTTAAGGTAAATAGTTATTTTGAATTTTTATAAACTAATGAATCAGTAATATTATTAGCATTGATATTATATTTGTTTCATTTTTACCATCGTTATCAGTGTTTTAGTTATTATTATTAAAATCATTACTATCATTACTATTTTATTATGATTATTATTATTTATCATTATTATCATTACTATCTTCATTATAATTATTATTTATCATTTTTATTATTTTATCATTGAAATAATTAATATAAGTTTTATTATTATTATCATTATTTTTAAAATTACCAAAAAAAATTAATAATCAATATTTTCATAATTTTTTTATTCTCATTATGAATTTATATAATTATTATCATCATTTTTATCATTATTATCATTGTTATTATTATTATGACCCCAGGCACTGAAGCATATGAGATCTCGGGAAGATAAACCTGCAGAAATAGTAAAAAAGAGAAGAAGGAGGTAATATTCACCATATTTATTCGTTTTTTTTTGTTTTTTTTTGCGAGAAGTAATGAAGTAATTTTGTCTCAAAAGTGAAAATATTTATTTTCGAATCCACCATCAATAAAATGAGTTAGCAAGGCATAAAAGTATGCAGATGCAATAATGTGTTACTGTTAATTAATAACTGGCTCAGGAGCCCAGCTTTGTCTGCAAATCTAAACTTTCCCCGTAAAAGTCGACTCAACTTAATTTTTAAACTAAGATATGAGCATTCCCACTGTTCTTACGAGTTCCCCATTAAAATTTAATGCAAATCTGTCCCGGGGTTCCCGAGTTATGATCGAACATCCCAACAAACAGAGATTACTCTTTTCCTGTCTAGATTTATTTTTGATATTTATTGTAGATGTATGGAGTGCGAAGGTTGTATTGCTACTGATTGCAAGTAAGTCTTCGTCCCTACAGAATTGTCAGAAAACAATTTGATTTTCACTAAAACCCAAAATGACAGATTTATTTTCATAATTTGTGTAGGTCCTGTCCTCCTTGTCGAGATATGGTGAAGTATGGCGGTATGGGCCGGATGCGCCAGAGTTGTGTAAAAAGGCACTGCGCACGTCCTCTGCTTCCTGTTGCCGCGCAATGTTCTGTATGTCAGCTGGACGGTTGGAACCAGACTCCGGACCCAAAGAAGATTGTGGATTTGGTAATTTTTTTATCAAACCATAATTTTCAGCGACCTTCTGTATGCTTAACAAAATGAAGAAATGCTGGCTTTACTGTCTAAAAATGGATGATTTTGGATTGTTGTTCCTCGTTAAATGTAAAAGATTTGAAAGTTTTTTGATTTTTAAAATTTTTCTCAGCAGAGATATTATTTATTAGGAAACCACGGTAAAAAATAAATAATTTCCAACTAGAAAAACATTGATATCTCATTTGTTCTTGATCAGATAAAACTTTTAATGGTACCATTGTATATCGAACAGGGCACTATGTTATATAGCATTTATTATTAAGTTTACTTATATCTCTCTAAAGTCAATAGTTTAATGTTTGGCCATGTATATATAAAAGATTATAAACGTTCATATTCCATTGCTCTATTTTATATTCTAAATTACACTGAATTAAAATTGGATGGTTATTCTGAATTTTTTTTCTTAACGTTTCCTTTAATACACATTTTTTATTTAGACCAGCAGTCCCCCTGATCTATTTGAGTGTATTCAATGTTTCGATATTCTGCATCCAAAATGTGCAACAACACAGGGACAGGTAGGATATATGATCATTGATATGTTTTGAAGTCAAATCCAAGCTCCATACATTAATGATTTTATTTGATTTTATGCTTCACGGGGTTAAGAAGTTATAAACTAGTCATTTTTAAATTCCAAAATACAAATACGACCCCCCACCCCTATCTTCAAAACAGAAATCTTCTAAATCCAACACAATGAATGCAAAAGAAAACTTTTTAAATATTTATAAGAAAACTGGTAGTTCGTTAAAGAAGCCATTATTTTTTCGAAAAAATTAAATCTTTATTAGGGCGAATTTTTGCGAGCCACCCTAATCATATCTTATGTCTTATGCCTTATGTATCTATTAATGGATTTAATGATTGATTGTTTAATTGATTAATTGATTGTTTAATTGATTGATCGATTGTTTGGATGATTTATTGATCGACTGTTTGGATGATTAAATGGATAATTGATTGACTGATTGTTTGGATGACTAATGGGATGATTAATTGATTAATTGAATGGATTATTGATTGACTGATTGTTTGGATGATTAATGGGATGATTGATTGACTGATTGATTGATTGATTGGTTTGATAATTGATTGACTGATTGAATAATTGATTGACTGATTATTAGAATGAGTGATTAGATAATTAATTGGATGATTGATTGATTGATTGGATGATTGAATGCATGATTAATTGGATAAATGATTGATTGGGTGCTTGATTGGATGATTGATTGATAGACTGGTTGACTGATTGTTTGGATGATTGTTGGATAATTGATTGATTTATTGGATGATTGATTGATTTGCTGATTTATTGATTGCTTTATTAACTGATTTATTGATTGAGTGATTGTCTAGGCTGAATCTACTTTATCTAACAGTTGGACCTGTTCAAACTGTCTCAAACCTCCTGATCAAGTCAAAGCAGAAACATGAAGAATGAAATAGGAGACCATACAAAACTTATCACCACAAAACTTATCAAAGCAAAACTTATCTAACAACAAAACTTATCAAACTACAAAACTTATCAACAAACAAAACTTATCAAACTACAAAACTTGTCAAACTCAAAACTTATTAAAATAACTACAAAACTTATTTTTCAAAACATTTTTAAAAGTTGTTACAACTAAAACTTGACTTAGAATTTATAAATATAAATCATTATTCATCTGTAAATAGGCTGGCAATATTGAACAGATATGTGTTCAAGGGTCCACTATCAAAGCTTGCACACATAGCCTTCAGGTCTTGTTCTTGTTCTCTTTGTATTTGTTGTACAGATATTTTTCATCATCCTTAAGTAAGTTTGTACCCTTCTGTGAGAGAACAAAATTAGCCTCCATCTCGGTGGAAAGGGGCTGGAAAACTGAGCTTTTACCGAATTTTCTATTAAAATTCGCGGATTTTTAAAAAATTGTTGGAACATTTCCATGATTTGAAAATTTAGATTCATGAATTTTATTGATAAGTTTTAAGTTTTGTAGTTTGAAAAGTTGTGTGATGATAAAGTTTTGTCACTGATAAGTTTTGAAAAGATAAGTTTTGTGGTGATAAGTTTTGTGGTGATAAGTTTTGTGGTGATATGTTTTGTATGGGCTCCGTAAAATGTTTACCTGATATTAATACTTATATTTTTGTGTTTTATTTTCATCCTTAAGCTGCCAAAGTAAAGGGCCCTAAATAGTTCTGCCCTGGTATTGTGATGTATTGTAATTATGTCTGGAAATTTCATCCTCAAAAACAGTGCTAAGGATCCGGATTCGTTGGATCCGCAAGATTTTGGCTTTTTGGATCCGTATCCAAGGGGTAAAATATCAAACAAAAACTACTAAAAAAAAACTTTTTTACTCCTAAAACCCAAATCTGAACTTTTGAATAAAAGAGAGATTATAAAAAATTCCTCATTTCTGAATGGTTCATCAATTTTTAGGATAAAAATATGCGAGAAAAATAAAATTGAAAATTAATTTTTGCTAAAAAAAATTCAGTAAATCTTAAAGAAATGACCTGGATCTGGATCTGGATTTGGATCCGGATCCATTTTTTTCCAGTGCGGATCCAGGATCCGGATCCGGATCTGCATTTAAATTAAATGGAACCTAAGCACTGCTCAAAAATAATGTTTGTAGATTGAAAATGGAAGAACTTGATATTCTCATCAATTCATTTCCTAACATCGCCATTTCCAGGTTTGAAATTTATTCTTATTTTTTTCGTCGGTTATCTTATCTTCCCGCCATTTTTTGTATACGAGAAGTATACAAACAAAATGGCGAAACCCACAGTTTTTGTTCTTTCTTTTCAAATTTTCGTCAAACCATTAAATAATGTCCAGACTGAAACCCCAATCTTCATTCATTTGAAAACTGCTGTTAGCAAATCCCCACATTTTTAATTTGATTATTTTATCAAGATTTACTGCCTAAAAATGATGAAAATTTTGGAAAACAATATTATACTTTTTAAACGTGTTTTCCTCATTGCGCTTTTGTAAGTATTGAAAAGTTATTGGTTGTATTTAAAGCAATTATCAACGATATGCTGGAGACATTGTTTGAGTAATAAAAGGGATAAAAATAGTTAATCAGTGAATCTGTAGACTATATGCGGATATTAATAATAATAATAGTAATAATATGCAGATATTCTCAATATACACCTAACAGGGGTCTAAAGATTAATTCACCAAAATAACCAAAGATACATAATTTTAGTTATTACATTATAATGTTAACCTAATAATTATCATTTCTATCATTCATTTCGAATGTCTTGAAAGGGGTTTCATTTTGTTTGATGCATAATACTTTCTGAAAATTTAAAAAAAAATTCCTGATAAAAAAACAAAATTCATCAACTTTGAAATCTCATGTTTATCTATTTACTAATTTGCATATTCTAGTGTTGAGGGGCGGGATATCTATGAGCATGCTAAAACCGGTTTTTATCCAAATATTAAGAAATCACTTGAAAAGTATTCTCTGGAACAAAGGTAAGGAAGATCCCCGGCACCCCTTCTCTCAGAGAAGATTTTTAGAATGTGTACCTCTAAATGTCTGAATAAATGTCTGTGTTCATTAAATAATTAAGTTAAATGGTAAAAAGAAACAAATATTATAAAATTCCAATTTATTTCTAAAGCTGATAGTGGAATTTTTCCGAAAGTGCATAAAAATTATATTTATCATGTTATAATTATTATAAATTTTTATATTTTCTTGAAAAATCATCCCCCTTTGTAAATCAGAAATTAGGGATGCTTTTTAGGGTGTTTTTTTTTCGCTGAATTAGTAAAACAAATAATTTTTTCGGGGAATAAACTTTTTTTTTGTAAAATGTATCAAAAATCATTCCTTCTTCAAATTACACAAAGCTAGATTTATATTTTTATTATATAGAACCTAGTTAAACCTAGGTTAATCTAGTTAAACCTAGTTTAACCTAGTTTAACCTAGTTTAACCTAGTTTAACCTAGTTAAACCTAGTTAAACCTAGTTAAACCTAGTTAAACCTAGTTAAACCTAGTTAAACCTAGTTAAACCTAGTTAAACCTAGTTAAACCTAGTTTAACCAAGTTTAACCTAGTTTAACCTAGTTTAACCTAGTTTAACCTAGTTTAACCTAGTTTAACCTAGTTAAACCTAGTTAAACCTAGTTTAACCTAGTTTAACCTAGGTCTAGATTACTAAACAAGCTCTATGAGGATGATGGACAGAAGTGTACTCCGCTCATTATAGGGAATTCTATTTACATTCTTGCAGTTTTTAATGAAAAAAAATATCTTTTAAACTGTATGATCTTTAGGAAATGTAACAAAGTAACGACATACATATTTGTCAAGAAATCATTAGACATCCGCGAAAATTAGATCAGTTCTTAATTAGATTGTGACATTTTGAAATTTCCTATACAAATCACCGCAGATTCGTTTTTGAATAAACTCGATTTTTTGTTTTCTTTTTTAAATTGGCTTTGTTTAATGTTTATAAACTGAAGAGCAGAAATGTTTTGACCATGAAGAATAAGAGGAGCACATAAAATTCTAAAATCTCAATTTTTTGTGTTAATATATAAATGTCCAATGTCCAGATATAATTTTAGATCCATAAATCTGATACAATTTGCACAGCATGCTATTGCATTGTTACATTTACTAAGAATAAGCAAATTTATTCGCTTGATGTCAGGAATACGTAAAATTGAATTGGTTTAGCATCAAGAATGGGGCACACTGACACTGTTAGATATCTACTCGGTAATCATCTTTTTGATGCTTTTGAACTTTGAAGTGAAAGAAACAAATTTCCGTTTGATTGGCTTTTAATACTAAAATTAAAAAAAAACTAATTAATACAGGGGTGTAAATTTTCTTGAGATTTAAACCGCGGCTCAAATTCTTTAAATTCCATCTCAGTATTAGTAACAGCGACTAAACATGAAAATGAAATCTAAGCTAAATTCTTATCATTAATATGGAGCCTCAAGCAATCGCTGTTTTCAAAATTAAAGTTTCAGTTTCCCTAAAATATTGAAAATACGAAAAAGGCAGACCACATGGATGGGAATAGAGATATTTACTAATTTATGTTTCAAGAATCGTACCTGCAAAAATAATGCCGCAGATTATTTCTTTGTTCAAAGACGACCCTTAAATCGTTTTTAACTGTCACGTTTAGTAAGAAAAATTAATTTAAAAATCACATCAAGGTACTTAGGTACTAAGGTACTGAGGTGAAAAGGTACTAAGGTACAAAGGTACTGGGGTGAAAAGGTACTGAGGTACAAAGGTACTAAGGTACAAAGGTACTGGGCTACAAAGGTACTAAGGTACCAAGGTACTGAAGTACCAAGGTACTGAATATTATTTAATAGCCCTATCCATTGAATCCGAATTTATTGAATTTTAGTGAACTCATTTAGCATTTTGTCCATTTTGAAAACCCCTTTCATAATAAATACGTTCTACCCTAACTTAATGATTGTATAGGTGCTACTGCTCTATGGTGTGCTGCAGGAGCTGGCCACCTTGAAATAGTTTCCCTCCTTCTCCTTCAAGGAGCTAGAATTGATCATGAAACTAAAACTAAATCAACCCCACTCAGGTTGCTTAACTAAACTTAATGGAACTGTAGACGGAATTTCAAGTGAACCTTTATAATCGATTAACTTAATCGTTTCTTTATATAAATTCTCTTAATTTCCTTCATTGTTTCACGTTCACAGATAACCCCAATTAATAATTAGAAATTTTACAGTCATAACCAGAAAGACCCGGAATTAATTGACAGCTGACTAGACGACTTTACATATATATCTCTCGTAAATAGCTCACAATAAAGGCAGACCACATTTTGGAATTGGCAGGACTACGGCTGTTTTGTTATTATTGTTTCATTAATCATATTTTTAGAATGAGATTGTAAAGCCCTCTGATTAATTACAAATTGATTCCAGTTTCTGATTATGAATTTGTTCAAAACAATGTTTAAAGGGTATTATCGTGAAAACACTTGCAACACTTCAAATAAAAGGTCATCTGAATTTACGTGGACAGTCATTTTATTTTTATTTTTATATAATGTATAGTTTTATTTGTTTTATTCACTTATTTCGACAAATAATAAAACATTTGTATAAAATTAATTTATATATCTAGTCAATAAAAGGCTCTTTACAGTACACAAAGCAAAGTCAGCAGGATGAACGGGAAATAATTGACATGAAGAAAATGAGTAAAGGAGAAGAGAGTAAAAGAATGACACTGTTGATTTTAGTGGAGTAATTTGTATATCACAGAAAAGGGGAGAAGATTGAAAGAGCACTTAGCGAAAAAAAAATCTGCAAAAATTATGAAAAGAAAAAAAATTCAATTCACATGAAAAGCAGAGAAAACTAAATATTAACAACACGTATTAATCTAAAAGACAGTTGGATTTAAAACAAGAAAATTCTTGAGTTGATTAGTTGACCTAATATAAATATATTTGTAGAGCTGCCTGTTTTGAGGGTAGGCTTGATATAGTTAGTTTCCTATGTGAGCAGGGAGCAGATATTGAGCGTGGAAACAAATATGATAATACCTGCCTTATGATATCTTGTTATAAAGTAAGTAAAAATGAATATTAGAAATTGTAAATATTAACCCCGCCCCCCCCCCCCCTAGCATGTGCTATACTTCTAAAGTCTGAAAATGGGAAATTTGCAAAAATCTAAATATTTGTTGCAAAATCTAGTCATAAAGCAAAAAATGTATTATAATTTTCATGTTTTTGAAAAGCCGTTGGCACAGAAAATTTATATATGTAAAAATAATTGCAAAACTTTTAATAAACAAATGTTATTTGAAAGGAAAACTGAAAATGTGCAATTTCTCTATGAAGGTGTCTGTAATAAAATTTGTGGCAAACTTCTTAGCAAAAGTTGTGTAATCTTTTCCTTTTGTCGAAGGCTTTCCAAAGAGTTATAAAATGTAGAAATATTTGAAAATTTTAAATAATAAATTTCAACATAGCTTTTTTAATGCATTGAAGAAAAGCTTCGTCATCCAAAGGTGGTCCTTTTATTTTCAAACTAATTTGAAAAATTTTAACTTAAAAAATGTATATCAGGGTCACCGTGAGGTGGTTGAATACCTACTGGCGCAAGGTGCTGATCCAAACTCCAAGGAAATCCATGAATAAATGTTATGAGTGACGACACCTTTTTTGTTGAAAACAAAAATTAAAAACATCAACTTCTGGAGAATAAGAATGTTCGATATTTACCAATGGGCTCAATTTGAATTGTTGTTTTATTTGAGATTTTTTTTTCTTTCTTTAAGTTATAATTAAAAAGTTCAACGGTGTTCTTTGTTTCATTGGGAATTTTGGAAGGTAATTTTTTTTACACCTTTTCATATCTTGAGAAAAATATTTAAAAAGTTGATTTATTGATTGGTATTCTGGTGAAGGCTTTGTGTGGAGCATCAGCTTGTCATTTTGCTGCAGAAACAGGAAATATTTATATTGTGGAGGCATTACTTAATAATGGAGCAAGGTCAGTTTGGATACAACATTTTTATTTAAACCCATTTATTTAATTATCATGGCAAACCCTAATTGTATGCGCAAAAGTATGTTTTTCCATAATTCTAATTTATACTTACTTCAACGGATGTGGGTACCATTAAGATTATTTTGCATATCACTTTAATGTCTTCTAACATATTTGACGTACTTAATCCGAAAAATGTACGAAGTCGGATATGATTCACTAACCCAAGCTGACTGGGGGGAAGTGGCGAGGAGCTCAGCCATGGAGCTCAACCATGGAGCTCAACCATGGAGCTCAACCATGGAGCTCAACCATGGAGCTCAACCATGGAGCTCAACCATGGAACTCAGCCATGGAGCTCAGCCATGGAGCTCAACCATGGAGCTCAACCATGGAGCTCAACCATGGAGCTCAACCATGGAGCTCAACGTAACAGGACATGACTGTTGGTTGAAGGAATGATATGAACATTCGTTTTATCAACATTCAGGGTTTCATGTCTTTTTGGAGGCTCGGCAAAAGAGCCACACATGTTTCAAATGGATGAGAATAAAAAGAATGTATTTTAGAATGGATGAGAATAAAAAGAATGTATTGTAGAATGGATGAGAATAAAAAGAATGTAATGTAGAATGGATGAGAATAGAAATAATGTATTCTTGAATAGATGAGAATACAAAGAATTTATTTTAGAATGAATAAGAATAAAGAGAATGTATTTTAGGATGGATGAGAATAAGGAGAATGTATTTTAGAATGGATGAGAAAAAAGAGTGTATTTTAGGATGGATGAAAATAATTAGAATCTATTTCAAAATGGATGAGCTGAAAAAATATTGTACTTTAAAATGGATAAGAATAAATAAAATGTATTTTAGAATGGATAAGAATAAAAAGAATGTATTGTAGAATGGACGAGAATAAAGAGAATGTATTGTAGAATGGATGAGAATAAAAAGAATGTATTTTAGAATGGATAAGAATAAAAAAAAACAATAAAACTTTGAATGAATGAGAATAAAAAGAATGTATTCTAGAATGGATGAGAATAATGAGAATGTATTTTAGAATGGACGAGAATAAAAAGAATGTATTGTAGAATGAATGAGAATGAAGAGAATGTATTTTAGAATGGATGAGAATAAAAAGAATGTATTGTAGAATGAGAATGAAGAGAATGTATTTTAGAATAGATGAGAATAAAATTATGTATTCTAGAATGGATGAGAATTAAAAGAATATATTTTAGAATGGATGAGAACAAGCATGGGATGACCCCGCTGTTATGTGCTGCTGAAAGATGTCAGGCTATGATGGTAGAATATCTAATAGGAACTGAGTGCTATTATTTCTTCCTTCACCCTTCAAATTTTTAAAGATTCATTAACCCGCCATTAAGTTGTCTTTTACATACAGTTCCCAAAGACTTAAAAACTAACTTTTTATTTAAAAATTGAAACTTTTCAATGTCGCGGATAGATTCCTATTCCTATTTTATTAAAGGAACAGAAGGCGTTATTTCAAGTGAGTCTCCATTTTAAGAGTGGTGTGAAGATTCCCAACATCAGTTTCCTTTAAACCTTTGACTGCTCAAGGTTTTCGGACTTATCCTCGTTAATCTATAGAAACACTTTTAATTATTGAACATTTTGTTGACAATCTGTTTTTTATTTAAAAGATATTAATATTCACAATGTAGACGTGGTATTTTTAAAAACAACCTTTAACGTAAAATATTCAGTAATTTAGATGGACACAATTAAAACGGATCAGCTGTGTTGAGTTAACACTGAACGCAGGGTACACCTGGATTTACACCAATTTAATCAGTTTTCAGCAGATTTACATAGATCTATGTACTCGATGAACATAAAAAGTTTAAAGGGTACCTTTGTAAATCGGGCATTGTCCTCTTAGCATGGAAGATTACTTGAAATTACGCGTACAGTTTCTGTAAGAGATAATTAATCAGAACTGGGAACTTTAGAATGGATAAACTTTAATCCTGACTTCTTGATCCGAATATCCACTGTGGAAACTTTTCATTTTAGTTCTAATCCACTCTTTTTCTCTCTCCTTGGATATCCGTTAATTGTTTTCTCCAATGAGAATATTTCTGTTCTCTCATTGGTTGCCCGCTTTTCTCTGATTGGCTGCTACAGTTTCTCAGATGATTAAATATTAATTTGAATTTTATCGTTTTTCATACACTTTTAAGATAATCTTGCAAGATTATGTTAATTTTGAGATTATCAAAAAGAGAGGATCAAGCATTAATCCCATTATCCACCATTCTAAAGTTTTCAGCTCAGAACAGATTATTCATAAAACAGTTAAAATCACTAGTTTTTCATATCTAACATTTTACTCGAAATATTTAAAGATTCGCTTCAATCTAATCTTGTTTTAATTGCGCTTGGTGTGATTAGAACGACCTGAAGTGTCCAAGGAAATGGCTGTGACTGCAATGGAATTGCTTGGAGCAAGCTTTGCCAATGACAACGATAATTATGATATTGGTAGGATTTATTTTTATAAAATGCTTCGTTCTTTAAAAATATAAATCAAGATTTAACTGAATTTCTTATATATAATGATTGACCAAGTCAAATATATGTTTTTACGTTTATTAAAGATTTGTTAAAATATTTAAATAGGTACAAGCTATTCTTACTTACACCGTGCAATGAAGCTTAGATGGGAAGATCCAATTATCCAGAAATCAAATCTGGTTCAAACTCCAGCTTATGACAACCGACTCGAATCCAGGTAACTTTTGTTAACCGACTCTGCTGCGCTGCAATACCAACTAAACTTTTATTTTTAGAACTGTTGAAGAGCTGGAAAGTATTGCAGAGAATCCGGACTCAATTCATATGGAGGGCCTTTGTATCAGGGAATAAAATAATATAAATAAAAAGAGAAATCGATAAAATTTAACTTGTTCAATATTTCAGGATTACAAATTTTGAAGATAATCCCTTTATATTCGATTAAAAATATCGTTTATATATTTCAATGTATTTCGACAGAAGTTACTCAGACTTTAGTTTTTGTTTGTTTGTGTGCGGGGGGGGGGGAGGTGTTACTAAGTTGTCATTCTCTTTCCTAATAGGATTTAAACGAAACCCTGTTTTTTTATTTACAATTTGTATTATTATCTGTTGAATTAGAGAACGTGTGTTAGGAAAAGAGAATCCTGAACTTCCATACATAATTATATTTCGAGGAGCAATATTTGCAGATTCATCAAGATTTGATAGGTAGGATTATAAATCATTTATTATTTTCTTAAAAGGACTGTTAGCGTAATTTCTAGGGACCCTTCGTGTAATGGTCGCTGCGTACAGCTTGAACTCAACAGTCAACACAACGCACACGGGAATTTGCAACTGAATACACGCGGGTTTCGATAAGTTTACACACACATATCTCTGTACTCGGATGAACAAAAAAAGGTACGAGTAACGTTGCATTATCCTCTTTGAATAGAGGGTCACTTGAAATTACGCGCACAGTCCCTTAAGTTAAACACTTGTATAAAACAATTACAGAACCTGGACATATATTCTTCATTTTTAATTTGACCAATGTCAGAAAATCTCATTGTAATATGTTTTAAATTTTGCCGATAAACGTAGTTTAACTTGCCCTGCATAGTTTAACTGCTTATCACTATGTTAGGTGTACCCTGCTCTGGTTGCACGCTCTCTCTCTTCGCCTTGGAACCAAAACTTCCGTCTCTAAAGATCTTCTAAGATTTGCCCAGGTTTGGTTAATTTTTTAACTCCGGTTCATTCGAAGTACCGAACCGAACTCTAGACAACTAGACAATTTGTACAATTTCCTTGCATACACAGTTAGAACTTATGTACATCGAATGAATTGTCACATATTTAAAAGAAATTAATAAGGCGTCCATAAAAGTCTGATTGATCGATTAATTGACTTGGTTCTAGATGTTCAGTCAGATGTACAAATCTGGACATGGATTAAACCTGGATCAGGTGACTAGTGTTCTAGCATCTACAGTTCAAGAAATATCATGGAATATCGAGAAGATTAGCTTAACAGAGAAGGTTGGTTAGTTGGTTGGTTGGTTGGTTGGTTGGTTGGTTGGTTGGTTGGTTGGTTGGTTGGTTGGTTGGTTGGTTGGTTGGTTGGTTGGTTAATGCAATTGATTGATAGATGGTTGGTTGGTTGGTTGGATGATTGATTGGTTAGTTGGTTGGGTGTGTTTCTTTTATTTATAATTCATTCATGCAATTGATTGATAGATTATTCATTATTTTTTTTAGTGATTGATTGATTGTTTGATTGATAGAGAATGGATAGAATTGACTGATTTATTATTTGATTGGTAGGAGGAGAAAGAGAGTATGGAGGATGAACTAGAGCAGAATATGTTGACAGCTCTCTACCTGATTATTATTATTGTCAAAAAGATCGAGAAATCATCTGTACCAGAGTCAGCAATGAAGGTAGGATCCAGGAATAGAAATAGGAACTGGAACAAAAGTGATATTTATATTATCAATGATAATAATAATAAAATTCAGGTACAGGAACAGAAGTGATATTAATAAAAACTGATGATAACAATTATTAATGTTAAAGATAATCAAAAAAGTGATTTTAATGCTAAAGAAAAGATAAGAAAAAAGTAATGCATAGTCAACCACTCACTCAGATGATTAGATCCAATATATTTATTCGATCAGCCAAACCAATTTTCAGAAAGTTTCTTTTTTCCCATTTTCTGATAATTACTGTTTTAGGAGGTTTACAAACTAGTGCATCTAAATCCTATAACATCTACAGGTGATATACACCCCCCCCCCCCTCCATGTTTTAAATGTTTAGGTATAAGATAATAATAATAAAAATAATAATACTGATAATAATTCTAGATTTTTTGTATGTTTTTTTTTAAATGAGATGAATTTAAAAAAGCTGATAAAAATCATACTTGAATTATGTGCTAAGTCTCTTTTGACATTTATAGAAAATTCTAAATCTTTTTTGAACGAAGTACATTAGTACAATGATATGGAGAAAACTCTAGAATATGAAGTCAGCTTTTAGACTCTTGTTATGACTTTTAATAGTCCTATGAACATGAGGCACAACCATCGTGCAGTTCAATCTGGTCCATTTCACTTACTAAGTGATTTAATAACTTACTAGTAAAGCTACTTGCTAAGAAATAACATCAAATGCACGTCAGTATTGCTTTATTGTCGTCTTCCTATTCTACAGTTTTCTGGTTATAACTGTATCTATAAGGTTGCTCTCTGCTACATCTATCTGTGAACCAACAAACTGCTGTAGATGATTTTCATACTAACGAAGTATGCAAGTTTCCTTGTATTGCTACAACCAAAATATTGCTTCAGGTCAGATTTATCTAAAATTGTACATTGTAAACTGTAGGAGATTTCTTGAAAACTCTTCCCGCATTTTTTGGCTTCATGTTCGAATTGTGTACATAAAATAATTTTGGGTTAAAAGTTTTAAATAGTTAGTGAAAGTTCGTTGAATTTTTATTTTCCCCTCTCCTCGTTCATTTTTCCCCAAGTGGGAAGAAATTAAAAAAAAAAAAAATTTTGATGATGATTTTTCTAAATCCTTCCCGAAATCTCTAAATACGTCTAAATACAGAACTTTTTCCTGGTGAACCCTGGCCCACTACACTTCATATGGAATTTTCGTTTTACAGAGAGCTAAAAAATGCATTGTTTGTAATTTTACAATTTGTTTTCTGTGATAATGAATAGTTCAACCATTAAACATGACCTTGTCAATTGATAATTATTTAGATCTCAAATATTTAAACATACTTTTTTATTATTTTTATAATTTTTACATTTTATTTAAGGCTGGAGCTGACCCCCAAGCTATGGATTCACAAAGAAATACTCCTCTCCATATAATTGTTTCTTACACGGTAAAATTAATATTAATGATAATAATATTAACAAAATAAATTAAAACGAATTTTGCACGGTGCGTATTTTTGAGATTTTTTTGAAGTATTCAGACACAAATTATAGTTTTTTCGGGAAGAAGTATCAAACTGTTCAAAAATTAATCGTGTTTTCCACAAAAGCTTCGAAAATCTATATCAATTAAAAAATTTGTAAAATTTATAAATATTTCTAGAGAATTGTGGCGGATTTCATTACACTTCATACCATCATAATTTCTCTTCTTGAAGCAGGTTAGCAAATATATTGGTAAAATCTTCGTTTAAGTTAGGAAATAGCTCCTAGTCCACCTCCTGCAATGAATTCAGGACCCCTCCCCTCCCCCTCTTCGATATATAAATTTGGCTTGTCTGTCTGTTTGTTTGTATCCAATAAACGTCAAAACGGCTGAACCGATCGGGCCCAATTTTTTTGTGGGACATCACGTGATCACAGGGAAGGTTTCTGAATGATAAAAATTAAAAAAAGTGTTTTAAATGTTTTTAATTTTGTAAAAAAAATTAAATCCTTAAAATTCGGGAATTTTTTTTAAAAAATCCGCAACAATTTTTCTTCTTTGTTTTAAAATGTAAACAAAAAGAACATGTTCACAAAAAAGGGTACGGTTGTCTATTGGACATAACACTTTATTGATAAGAGTCCTGAATTTATGTTTACAATCCCTTAAAGCTGGTAATAAGGGTCTTGAGGGGTTCCAAAGCCACAAGGAATTAACCAATGCAATTTTGATAAGTGAAAAAATTTGTTTAAGGTGCCCACATTGACTGTGTAAATAGTTTAGGACAAACCCCTCTCGACGCTGCTACTTCAGGTTGGTCTCTAAACTCTCTATCTATATTTAAACTTTGCATGTCTTTTTGTATTCAATAAACGTCAATAAGGCTTAACTGATCGAGTTCAAAATTTGCGTATCATTTTTGAAAATGCACCAATTTAAACAGAAAACTTTAAAAAGTATTATTTTCAAATGACAGCAACGCTTTACATCTAAAATTGTTTATAGAAAAGGGGCGCAAAGATCCCAGGAAGCTTTGTAAAGTAAAATTTATTTTTTATTGTTATTTGTTTATCTACAGGGGGAGCAACAAAAAGTGGAATAGAAAGACCTTTTCCCCGTTTTTTATGGCTCTCACTGTTGCAATTTTAAAAAACTTGTTAAATGTTCTACAATTCTATTGTTGACTATTTTTTATTTATATTTGACTTAAAAGAATTGAAACTTTTATTGTTTTTCTGTTTACCCAAGTTCCAGTTACAGTTAATAAGAACTCTTAAATGAAAAATCAAAGTTAAATTATGAATACATTATTTATAGAATGTTTTAAGACTAATATTATCTCATGAGAAGAGGATGCAAAACAAACTTTTAAAGTGTTCTTAAGTGTATCAGTAAAAGGTGGTGTTGTGAGTCTAATAAACGAATTTTAATGCAAAGTGGGGGTGAGAGCAATTAAAACTTTTTAAAGAAGGAGGCAATATTGCATAATCACACAGTGATGAGTGATTTGTGTTTATATCAATGCAATAAAGAGTACTTCTAATTTAGTTTTGATTTATTGATTTTCAAATCACAAGCTGTTAATTGACAGCTTCTTTTTCTTACCATGTTTATCTGTTTCCGTACTGTTTGGTTAACAAATTTAATCGAAAATTGTCTTCATCGTTATTGTACGACGCCTATAATACAGGATTCTAAAGGATGAGACTGCAAAGACGACCTCAAACTCTTAAAATCTGATTCCAATGTGAAATCAAGTTTTCTGTAATGTATTAGGCAAAAAAAAAAGAGACAAGTTTACAGTTGAAGGGAATCATACATATAAGGAAACAGACCATATGAATTTTGTACAGTCGTCTTGGAAGTCTCTTGCTTTGTGTGTAACTGTGCAGAACGCTCCAGGGAGCTTACAGGGATCACACGGTGTAATGCAAGGAAAGTTTATTGCGGTCGTGTATACTCTGTGTACACATTGAAACTAGTTCTCGTTGGGCGGAATTTGTAAACAAGAATAGATGCATCAGTGTTCGTTTAGTATCCGAGGAGGTTAAAAGCATTAAATTTTGATAATTTTGATAATTCATAGAATAGTTTCCTATGACCAGTATATTTCATTGATTTTTTATGTGAAAGATGGATCCCACGTCAGGCTTTGACATCCGTCTTGTGCTTACATTACCGCCCAGAGACGGTACACTGCAGTACAAAAGATGTGTACACTTCTGAAATAACTTTCCTTGCAGTACATCCTTGGCAGGGATCCCGCAAAACAAGTTATCTGTAGGGGAGTCAAAAAGAACAATTATTCCATTATAAACTATTTGAATTATGAATGTTGATATAATTACAATAGTTGCATTACTGATATTTAATATAAATAAATTAAAGGGAATCCTTAATGATAATATGTTGTGAAGTAATTTTATTATGCATTTGGCTACATAAGTCGATAATATATAGAGCGAGACTAAAGAAAAGAACATATATCTCATAACAATATTATATATGATAGAAATTTCTCTTTACCATTAAATACGAAATGATAGCTCTTGAACAGTTTAAATGGGTCTTATTGTTTGTAAGGAATATATACCCTAAACACGTCTCTAAATTCTTAGTTTACTAGCTTTTTTATTCCAAACAATATCCCTGTATATCATTGAATAATAATTAGGAGTTGCTGAGATTATATTAAAGTCTCAAACCAAGATGAGCCTGAAATGCTTGGCAGCTAAATCAGTTAGAAAATACAACCTTACTTATCAGGGCCAGGTAAACAGAGGTCAAAAGTCAATGGTCAAAGGAATTGAGTCTGTGTCACAAACTCTAATTTTCTAATCTCTATAGCTTTGTAACCCAATGTCGTAAGACCTTGAATATTTCAAACTATGAATTTTGATAGATTAAGAATTATTGCTGATTTGGCTATGTATCAAATTCGATAAGAATTAATCCTGAAATTAAAAAATCCTACAGTGGGTAACCGTGTATTTTAAAAAAGATGATTAATGGCTCTTTTTTATGATTAGTAAATTTTCAAATGACATAATCCTCTCTGACATTTCATGATTATAAATACTGTTTCCAGCGAAAAATATAATTATCTTTACGCATTAACGCGGAAATTTTTTGTTTCGTCGAAAATTTTGCATTTTTACGCATTCCTTTCGTAGAAATTTTGGGAAATTATTGCATATTTGGTTTTTCTCTCGCGAATTTGTTGCAACTTTTTTAATCTGTTGTCTGGATCAGTCGTCGTCGTATGTATCAATACAATAAAGACTACTTATGATTTAAATTTTTTAATTTTATCAAGCTTTTCAAACAGCATGGATGCACATTCATGTATAACATGGAAGAAATTTCAATTAACAGCTTCTCTTTGTTTGCTTATAATTTACAAAAAAGCTTCTAAGAAATCATAAACTAAAAAGTAAAGGTCGTTTTCATTGTATTGATGTTAACGCCGGTGACTGTACAAAGGTTAATTTCTTTTCAACTTTCAGGTTCCTCAGTGTCTTGAATCATTTATCCAGATCCATGGCCCTTAATCTACCTTCATCTACCTTCAGTACCAGGGGTCAAAGGACCAGATTTAATGAATGGCCATGCATGGTTGAACTGTGCAGACGTGGTTCAACCACTTCTCCCCAGCTTTAACCGGTAAACAGGAGAAGTGGTTCAACTTAATCTGCTCGACTCAGCTACTTATCGCTATTGATTGAATCTGGTTCTTAATATATAATATATACAGGGTGTCCCACGAAACATGACAATAGCAAGACGACTTGAAAGTCGTCTTTGGTATTTGAATCTATTTGTGACATTTAGTCTTCTATCTACTTTAACATGTATGATTCTTGAAACAATTATCACATAATTCTCCTAGCCCTGCCATTTCCAAAAAGTGGTCTGCGTTTTTTCTGCTTTCAATATTACCGGAGATATAAAGAGTTTGGTTCAGATTTCAATTTTGTCAAATAAAAGCAAAATTGTCGAAATCTGAACGAAATTCTTCATATCTCGGGCAATATTGAAAGCACAAAAAAGGCAGACCACATTTTGGAAAGGACAGGACAAGGGAAATTTTGTGATTATTACTCTAGAAATCTACTTCTAAAATTAGGTTGACAAATAAACGCAGCAAATTATATCAAAAATCAAGACGACATTCAAGTCGTCCTGCATACTGTCATGTTTCGTGGGACACCCTGTATATACATAGACATATTATATATATTATATAAATAATGATACTTGCATAAATAATACATTAATATTAAAGATAGTGTTCTCGAAATTTTAAAAGAACGATTTATTCGAATCTTTATCCTTAAAGGAGTATTTTTGAAATCCTGCCTAAACAGACCTTGAATAAATTTCGGTCTCTTGTAAATATGAAAATCAATCTTTAAAAAATTTAGTCATAAATGATCTGCAATGATTAGTTAATCAAAATAATGTCAGAAAATTGAATGTGAATGAATTAAAATAGACTTTTTTGCTACACAACAATGTGTCGTTTATTGGTATTGTTCTCAAAAATTGTCAGAATTTCAAGTTTACCTTACTTTGGCAATTTTGTTCCTTTCCCTGCAAATAAACAGCGGAATTACTGGTATACCGTAAACAAATTAAATCTCTAATTAGTAATTACTGGTATACCGTAAACAAATTAAATCTCTAAAAATGACTTCCATCTTTTTTAAAGACCTAGACTGTAGAGAAAGGCTGAACGCCAATACTTTCGCTTTCTTCACAAATATTGATCTGTGTAAAATCTAGTTTACTAACATTTCATTTTATTATCGAGCTTAATATATTTATCTATGTTATACTTATGTTCATATTTTAAATAATGATAAATAATGTGTTACGGAAATCTCTGTTAAAAAAAATATATATATACTAGTTTTAAATTTTAATAAATTAAATAAATTTTTTCCTGTTTACTCTATTGTAATTGAAAATTGTCTGCGCTTTAAGATTGTTTTTAGATTTAATTTAGTGGCCCGGAAGGGGAAATAGTGGTGGCTCATGGCTGCCGGAAGAGAAAAAAGCTAATATGTGGCCCGGAAGGGGAAATAGTGGTGGCTCATGGCCGCCTGCCTTCCCCCGCTCGTTGTAAAGACGACCCAAAAACTCTAAAAATATGGGCATGGTTCCTAGCTTGGCGGAGGGGGGGATAGATAAAACTCCTAAGAATGCGCGAATACCGGATAATATTTCTTATATTCTCTCTCTCTATGACAGCTTGCCATGTCAGCTTGTTTCTATAGATAGTACGGGTTAAGGATGGATGTTGAAAAGGATGGATACGAATGTTATTAATTTGATATAAGTTGGGTTTGATTGTTTATCTGATCTGGATACTTGGATAAAAACCCAACTTATATCAAATTAATAACATTCGTATCCATCCTTTTCAACATCCATCCTTTTCAACATCCATCCTTAACCCGTACTATCTTTAGAAACAAGCTGTCATGGCAAGCTGTCATAGAGAGAGAGAATATAAGAAAAATTATCCGGTATTCGCGCATTCTTAGGAGTTTTATCTATCCCCCCCTCCGTCAAGTTAGGAACCATGCCAAAAATATGCATGATTTTTTGGTTTCTACATTTTATTGAGAATTTTGATTTGGTTTACTAAGTGAGTAAGAACAGAGAAGGCATTTCTGGCGTACAAAGAACCATGCAAGAAAAGGGAGTAAACAAATTCCGTATATCGTTTCTGAAGTCGATCCTCATCTTTTGTGAGTGAACCCGTGCGTGATCCCTCAATAAAGATTAATCTCCAACAGTCCTAATACCTCCAGATAAAACTATATCCCCCACCCAGGCAGCCTTCTATTCTAAATCTCTTGGTCATGGTTTAATGGTTGTACTGGTATAGAGTATAGACATTAAGATTTATAAGTCGGAACCGGGGGTTAAAGAGGACGGTTGTTCTCATCAGGCTCGTTCATATAATTCATATTTTCTTTAAAAAATATATGAAATGTATCAGAAATAATCATTTTGTATGAAATTTCCCCTTTTTAAAGAATTTATAAGAAAAGGAATAAAAAATACAAATTCTTAATTTATGAACGCCTCTTCAATATTTATGTTTGAGTACAAAATAACGAGGTAAACAGAAATATTTGCGCAGTGGTCAGTGAGATATTTATAACAATCATCAGTTACAGTTTAGAGGTGTATCTCTAATCATGGAGTCACTAGGTAAAGTAATGAAATTCTTATAAATTGCAGTTTTTTTTTCAAGTCTAATGTAAAAATTTAATTATATTCTAATTGTAATAAATACCTGGGGAAAAAATGAATTCGATCGAGTAGGGCCGGGGGGGGGGAGGCAATGCCACACCCAAATTACTCCCCGTCCGAAATTGCCTCGCAAACATGGAGTTGCGGCACATTGCTTCCTGTCAGCACCCAGATGTCTTCTGGAGAAATGTCTTTAATTTTATAAAAGCTTATAAACGTTAATACTGAAGAAATCAAAAATTTGTATATTGAATCCAAAGAGCTATATCTATTTCATTGTTAGACATTTTTTGATTGCGATAAAAGCTTCTCTATGTACTTTAACTTAAGGAACTGTGTCCAGACTTTTATCTGTTGCTGGAGCTGAGCTGTTTACTGGAGCCGCCATGTACTGTGCTCTAGTAGAAGTACCGGCACGGTAAGATGTTTATGATCTAAACAACGTACTGTACTCATAGAGAATAGAATATATATTAGAGGGGAATTTAAAGAATCTTTTTAGTCCCTTTCAGCCTGAAAGGGATTTCAAAGTGTACAAATCATGTAAATGAACTCACAAATTTTATGCAGTAGAGTACATTAATTCAGTTTGTTCCCTAGACTATTTATTTCAATTTCGAATTTTTTAAACTGTTAAATAAACTTTATAATGAATTAGGTGAATAAAAAACATCATTTGATTTATAGTTATAACGGAAAATCACCGTTTGTAAAGTGTAAGGCATAGAGTCTATGTGAAATGATCATTGGTCAATTATGAAACCAGCCTATTTCATAATTTGGTTTTCTTTTACAATAATTTTAGATTTTCTATAAAATGATATTCCAGGGCCCAAAAGGTTATATAGCATAAATATGTGATGTACATCTGCAGTATGGAAACAGTACAACAAAATGGCCGTTTTACACTTTTTTCTAGTAAATTCCCGTCTAATATATTCTTTTCTCTATGACTGTACTCTACTCTAGTAGAAGTACCGGCACGGTAAGATGTTCATGATCTACACAACGTACTGGATTCTAGTAGAAGTAACGGCACGGTAAGATGTTTATTATCTAACCAACGTACTGTACTCTAGTAGAAGTACCAGCATGGTAAGATGTTTATTATCTAACCAACGTACTGTACTCTATTAGAAATAACGGCACGGTAAGATGTTTATTATCTAACCAACGTACTGTACTCTAGTAGAAGTACCAGCATGGTAAGATGTAATTATTATGGAACCAACGTATTTTACTCTAGTAGAAGTACCGGCATGGTAAGATGTTCATGATCTAAACAACGAACTGTACTCTAGTAGAAGTACCGGCACGGTTAGATGTTTATTATCTAACTAACGTACTTTACTCTAGTAGAAGTACCGGCACGGTAAGATGTTTATTATCTAACCAACGTACTGTACTCTAGTAGAAGTACCAGCATGGTAAGATGTTCAAGATCAAAACAACGTACTTTACTCTAGTAGAAGTACCGGCACGGTAAGATGTTAATTAACTAACCAACGTACTTTACTTTAGTATAAGTACAGGCACGGTAAGATGTTTATTATCTAACCAACGTACTTTACTCTAGTACAAGTACCGGCATGGTAAGATGTTTATTATCTAACCAACGTACTTTACTCTAGTAGAAGTAATGGCACGGTAAGATGTTTATTATCTAACCAACGTACTGTACTCTAGTAGAAGTACCAGCATGGTAAGATGTTCAAGATCTAAACAACGTACTTTACTCTAGTAGAAGTACCGGCACGGTAAGATGTTTATTATCTAACCAACGTACTTTACTTTAGTAGAAGTACAGGCACGGTAAGATGTTTATTATCTAACCAACGTACTTTACTCTAGTACAAGTACCGGCACGGTAAGATGTTTATTATCTAACCAACGTACTTTACTCTAGTAGAAGTAACGGCACGGTAAGATGTTTATTATCTAACCAACGTACTTAAAATATCTGACCATTTTATTTTCAAATGTATGGCATTCTTTTTACTATCTCTGTTTAGAAAGGCGATGGGATCCCCTTTAGCGATGTTAGCAAATTGGCAGGTAGGAAAATCATATTAATTTTTCTAGATGAAAAAGTTGTACTTTTTTTAACTATAGCTCTGATATACAGAAGCGAAATGGGAGCATTTTAAAAGTTGAATTTTGGCAAGAAACTGTTTTTAAGTAGAAATATAATATTGTAATAATTGTAATAATACTGAAAACTTCTTGGACAAAATCATTTTTAACATTTGTCACAGTTTTTACCTGAAATGTTCCTTATTACTCCCTTCATTCCTTCCTGCTGGTTTTATATTGCAAAGTTTAATCAAAACAAACTTAAACAGTGTCCGAATTTAATGAATTTAAGTCGCGTCTCAAATCCCCAAAAATCCGGTTTCAATTGAGCGCCGGCTTAAATCTTGAAAAGTTGAATAAAAATTTAAGTGGAACCAACCATATTTGAGCCCCCAGCTTAAATTTAAGCCGCGGCTCAAATTCTTTAAATTCAGTTTTCGAATTTAAATGTTTCTTTATCTTCAAAAAATGAACAAAAACGGTTAGGTTGTTAACAACATATTTGTGATACTTCCTACATAGTCAGTACAGTATCTAATCTATTATTTAGGAAACATTTCCAAGAGCTAAATATATTCAGAGTAAAATCGCTTTGTTTTCTACTGCTTCGGGACTCTTTGGTAAGGAAATAAAGTTTAGAAGTACAGGGTGTCCCAATAAACATGGGAATTCAGTGACGAATTCGATATCGTCTTTATAAACAATTCTTTGATTTAGTTTAGTGATACCTACAGAAAAAGCTGTAATCTGTAAGAGTTTCGTCTGCTATGTTCTCATTTTGTTTGTTTATGTTTTGACTGCATACGGTTGTACTTAGTAAAACAAGAAAATTGCAGTATACAAACAGAGTAAACTTGTCCCTCTTCACTGTTCATCTTGCGGAGGCATTATAGACAAATCTTTACAGTCTTTTACCCTTTTCATAAAGGCATTATAGACAAATCTTTACAGTCTTTTACCCTTTTCATAAAATAAACTCGAGCAGACAAACAATAGTATGGTTTTTGAAATTAGGTATTATAATGCTAATTCATAACAAAGACGATATCCAATTCGTAACTGAATTCCCATATTTTTTGGGACACCTGTATTACCCCCCTATTCTCCCCCCCCCCCCGGCCCTTCTCCGTTCCTTGGCCCATCTGGACCACTCTCCCTCCCTAGCTGGACCACTTTCCATCCCTGCGGGCCCCTATCTATCCCCACCCACTGGCACCTCTTCCATCCCCTTGGCCCCTCCCCCTGGCTCTGACCCCTTCCCCCTTTATTGGGCCCCCTTTCCTTTCTTCACGTCCTGATGCGCATTAAGAAATTGTGGCCCCCTTTTTTAATAATAATTTCAATAGTTAACCTTCAATTCCTGGAATTCACTTCAAGGTCGTGTTCCAACAAACAAAAAATAACGATCAAAAGGTGGATGGATATTATTGTACCCAGTGGTACGAGATTGCAAGTCATCATCATTTATATAAAATTATCTGAGTATGGAGCTTTTGTGTAAATATTGTTAATCTTTTGCGTTTTATCTCGATATCCAATAATATTGAAATAAGATCAGAAGGGAATTAGATTAATCCGGAGATCTGCCTAACATGGAAATCAATGCTTGATCACGAGATATTTGTATTAATGAAGTGAAATAAGAAACAAACCTGTGAAAGTTCTTTTTTTGAAGGAAAAATGTAATTTATTTTTCTTAAAAAGCAGGAAGGGAATAAATATTTCAACCCAGTTCCATAAGATCAGCAACATTATTCTTTGCAATCTAATGGTGTGTAAACCTATAATATTTCAAACTTTGATTATTTGAATCAACAGAACTAACAGTATGAAATATTTAAGGGTTACGACATTGGGTTGCGAAAATTAGAAGATCAGAGTTTGTGGCAAAGATGCAGAAATTAAAAATTTTTCATTTGTTTTAAAACCGATTTTTATATCCGTATCAAACTAAAACACAGTTCCTGAGCAATATAACCAAAATATGAATTATTTTAGATCAAAATTAAATTATCCAAGTTCAATTTGTTCATATATTACTTAATCCCTGATGTATATGTGGATATGAGACGAGTAGATCCTTTTCTAGAAATGGTTGTTGGGTGTGTCCACTCTCTTGATATTCTCCGTTCTCCCCTTCACCATCCTCTTCATCCAACCAACCAACCGCAGTCTTCTAGACGGAGAAGGTGATTAGATTGTCGTACAGTGGTCTTTAAAATATATTGGGTCACACACTTCTAATATGAAGTAATATTTCTTTTATACACTTTTAATCTTTGAACTAAAACTAAGAAATAACCAAAAGACTGAACAATAAACATGTATTTAAAGTTTTTGTACAGGGTGAACCATTAAGGGTATTTTTACAGTGGACTAGAGTGGTACTGGTAGGCGATAAATGAAGACGACTTTCTACTTCAATTTTGATGTATATCAAGCTGTTAAACAGCATTGAAAAGTCGTCTTCATTTTATTGATATAATCGCCATCTTCTGTATTAAAATCGTAACTTGGAACTAAAAGTCGTCTTCCTATTCCACAGTTTTATGACTCACTGTACATCTTGTGAGTTACAAAGATGCGGTTTACCATCTTTGTATCTCTGAATGTGATGGAACTATTCAGCGTTGAAATCCCAAGGCTATAATTATAAAAACTCAATATTTATTATTAAGAGCCTGTTGTTTGAATTTCTATAAAAATGCTGTTCTCCTAAAACTCAGCGTTCAACTATAATCAAGTCTTCATATGATTTGCTCTATTCTTGAAAATAATTTGCTTATTTCTTAAATATGATTTGCTCTATTCTCGAATATGATTTGCTCTACTCTTGAATATGATTTGCTATGCGCTTTTTCAATTGTACCTCCAGATAGTAAATTCTCGATTGTGTCCTGTATGAGTGCGTTTCCTGGCTTTAATCCTGTTGAGTTTGCAGTCGTTTTTAAAATTATTTTCCTCCCCAGGTGCTAAGAAGAAAGGGGAAAAGTGGATTGAAGAAACTGTAAAAAACTGGGGAAATCTTCACTCAGTCAGGATACTTTTAAGGTATCTTTTATTATCATTTCCAGCCATATTTTTACCTTATAATAATTTTTAAATGTATATTTTTAGTTTTCATGGCTCAAGACTATTTTTAGTTTTCATGGCTCTAGACTATTTTTAGTTTTCATGGCTCAAGACTATTTTTAGTTTTCATGGCTCAAGACTATTTTTAGTTTTCATGGCTCAAGACTATTTTTAGTTTTCATGGCTCAAGACTATTTTTAGTTTTCATGGCTCAAGACTATTTTTAGTTTTCATGGCTCAAGACTATTTTTAGTTTTCATGGCTTTAGACTATTTTTAGTTTTCATGGCTCAAGACTATTTTTAGTTTTCATGGATCAAGTTTTTTTTTGTCAAAGTTCTCAATATATTTTTGTTTCAGCGGAAGCAGTGTTCTGGTCGCAGGAGTTTACTGGTTCAACAAGATTCATCCATTCCTCTAAACTAGCGGAATAATACTTCCTCTAGTCTAGCGGAATAATATTCTCTAGTCTAGCGGAATAATACTTCTTCTAATCTAGCTGAATAATGCTTTTTCTAATCAAGCGGAAAATTTTGTTCGGTTTAAGATTATGTATACTGCAACTTGCGAGTAGGGTTTCCATTCGCAAAACTTTTGTCCAATTTTTTCAAAAGAAAGCGCCAAGTTTTGCTTTTGTTGCGCTACATTTTTGTGCAAAAAATATCACTTTGCGCAATCATTCACAAACTTATTTTCGTGCAAAACCGCGTTATTCCGCTTTTGTGTAATTCTGTTTTGCGCAATTTTTCGGAACAGATTCTCAGTAAAAGGTTCAATAAAGGTTTAAATTGTATGAATTAGTTATTTATGAGATTTCACTTTTTTGTATATAAGTGTAATGCTTGAAAAGAAAAAGATCACTTGCCTAAAACTCTATTGCTCAACCTGATTCATGATGACACACTGCAGCTCGATCTCACACAAAGGTCGAGCAGTATTTTACCAATTACTCATTTTAAACTTAAGATAGAAACAGACGCGCAGCATTTTTAAAATGCATATTTGTAGGCTTACGGTATCAGTGAGTTGGTGAGGTAGAACCAAAGGCCAAGGCGTTGCGACACTTCAAAGTCGATTCTGTATAAAAGATTGATGACTACGTTTCAGTGTTGTCTTTATCTCAGTGGGCATTGATCTTTGATATTTAAATCATATGCATTCGACTAGAAGTCGTCAACATTTAAAATATCAAGGTTTAACAGGATTCAGACATCTATGAAACTATGCATCAACATTTTTATTTCTGTTTTATTAATTTTTGTCCCTCAATGTGAAGATTTTGTAACTAAAAGTAACCAATTGAGAGCATGGCATATAATTTGTTTGTAAGTGAATTTTTGAAGAAACCTTTAGTTGTTTGATTCTGTGCTGAAACTGTGGATTTTGGTAAAAAAAAAAAAAATTTAATAACATGTTTTGCGTAAAGATATATGAAAAAATATGATCATTTCGTGAAAACCCATCATCATCATCAATCATCAATTATCATCATCATCTATCATCGTCAATCATCATCAATCATCGTCAATCAGCATCAATCATCAATTATCATCATTCATCAATCATCAATTATCATCATTCATCAATCATCAATTATCATCATTCATCAATCATCATTTTTATTATTATTATAAATTGCTAATCTATCTCCTATGGCCTGTTTAGAATATGTAAATGAAATGTATATCTAAACTTTCAAACATCAATTCTGGGTACCTACATCAGGGGCAGTACATCTAGCTTTCAGAAAAGCAATAACTAGGTCTCATGCTCGGCGCTTCTAATAGTAATCGCTACAAATCTATTATTACTGCCAAATCTAATGACAGTGTTAGCAGGAATTAACATTACATTGCAGGAATAGCATTAGAAGCAGAGTAAACTTATGGGTAGGGCTTGGTAAGTTCAGTTAGCAAAACAGAGGTTTTTGAAAATTAAAGGAAGAATTCTTTAACAAATGGCAAAACCAACCCGTTAATTTTAAAATCATTAATAAAAGGGATAAGCAGTTTTTGATAAAAAAAATTATGGTTGAAAACAAAAACTGATGTGTTTATAAAAAACTGTGAATTCTTTTCTTAAAATTGCATGAAACTTGCCATTAATGATTTGGCAAACAATTTTTAAAAAGTTGAAAAAACAACCATCAACAGCTGGCGCTGTTAATGACAGTCTTTACGAGAGTGAATGCTGTTTTTTTCAGAAGTATGGATCACATTTTAAATTCCTGTTGTAAACAGAAGATATCAGAGTCTAAAACTAAAGAACGAATAGTTTTGACTTAAATTTTAAGTTCATGGTTTAATGCCACTTCTGACTTAATTTAAACCTGAACTTTAACCGTGAGGTTGAATATTTAACCCTGTGGTTAAATATTCAACTCGCCGAAATCGACGAGTTAAAATTTAAACACAGGGTTAAAATCTTGAAATCCCGCAATCCCTCTTTGTCTATCATAATTCAGCGGTAAGCGGCATTCAACTAATTACGATATATTTAAAAGTAAAAACCTTAATTCAATAAATTTCACGTTTCAGATTAATTAATGTTTGCACGTAAACCCAAAATACGGTTGTAACTGGAAATATGTTTTGTGTTTCGTCACGTAATTAACTTAAAATTGAAAAAACAGCTGATTACCGAATACTGATACTTACGTAATAATTCTTTAAATCCTTTTCTCTGATTGGTTCAGATTTTTCCCGGGAAATTCAAATTTAAAATTGAGAAAGTTTAATATTTAAGTAGCTATTCATTATTTTACAGAACTTTTAACCTCGAACTTAAAAATCGCGCATTCTTTAGTTTTAGACTCAGGTTTTAATTAGGTGGTGATGAAATTAGCAACTGTCAAAAAAGTTAATAGTTTTAAAGTGCAAGATAACAAATTAAATAATAATAATCCCAATATTAGGCAGAAACAAAAGCAGGAAAATGAATTGTTCCCTTGTCTACAAGGATTTAGAATGCATCTACAAGAGAAGAAAAGAAAACAGATGAATGATCAGCTAAAAAGTATAAATTCACTGCTATCTATTTATTAAATTTTGTTAACAAAAAAATCTAAAATATGTCTAGATATTTTATATAGATGGAGGATACAGTTCTCTTAACAAGAATCTGTTAGTTCACTCTCAATCTAACCATCATACAACCAGGTGGACAGAATTCTAATAAAATGACGTTTACCAATGTGATTAAGCTATTCTGCTATACCGGATATTTGAGCCTCATTGTAATGGTTCCTGGACCGCCAAACAAGTACACCTTCATGGTAGAGTTCTTAGGCTTCACTTTGACTGTTATTGCCTCACTTCTCATTCTCGATTTTTTGACTACAAGGCCCAATGCACAGAAAAACTTGTTAAACAGGATTCTGATACTGTTGGTGGTTACCTTTCTCCTCGGAACTACAAGAAACTTCTTCATGACCTTTGTGACCTCCTTCTTCCATACAGACCTACAATTGTTTGTTGACTCCTACCCATTCCTGGCCATAACTTTTCTATCTATGAGAGTAACTGGAGTGATGGAATGCTTCTCTGTCATGGCTCTATCTGTTGGAAGACTACTACTGTATACAAATCCTGTAGTATTCCATAACTTAAACCCAACCCATGGACTTTTGATATCTACGGTCATGATGATCATTGTCTGCTGCTTTGATCTTACATTTACATGGATATCCTGCTATACTACTCATGATCTACCTGATCACACCATCATCATAAACTTGTACAATGAGCAAGGTCTCAAGAGACCAACTACCGAGGTAAACATTACCAGTCTCGAGGATGGAAAAAAAGAGCATAATGGAAAACAAAATGTTTGCCACCCTATACCAATAGCTGATGTGTTACTTCTAGGAGCCTTTGTTTTTGAGGTGGTTAGATTTATATTTGTTCTGATTAAGAACAAGAAGACTGTCCCTCTGGCTAACGCCCAACTAACAGCTACTGCATCTTCCACTGATGTTGTTATGGCCCCATCACTGAATCAAAATGTGACTATTTCTAGGAACATAGCTTCAAGTATCTCTTGTGAAACTTCTGTACCATTTGATACTGATGCTGCTCCTGCTTCTGCGGCTACTTCTCTTCCTTTTGCAGTGCAAGGTTTAGCTGCTGTAGAGGAATCCGGTGATTCATCTACTAGAATTGTTGGCAGAGATGAAATAACATCTGGAACTGGAGACAATATAACTACTGCACTGCCAGCTATTACTGCTGTGAAAACCTGTGCTTTTGGAGATCTTAAACCTACAAGATCTGAATCTCTCCCACAAATATCCAGATCTGAGGACAATCAGAAAAGAAGACATTCATTTCAGTTTACTCCAATAGTAAAAACCTATAAAGAAAAACCATCTGAAAGAGTAGGAACTGTTCTTGTCAAAAACTTGCCAAACATGACAGTTCAACATGGCCAAAGGGAAAACAATCTAAACAACATTATAAAGATTATAAATCTTTTGTACCTGAGATCAAGCAGTATTGTAACAGTAGGAGCTCTCATAGTTTTAGTAATAACTGCTCATAACTATCTGAACATTCATACATCATCATATCTTATGATTGTTATACAAAGGCTGTTTCAATACTGTTTAACAATTGCTCTTGTGGCGTTTGACAAAGACATTCTACAGTATCTGATAGACAAATTTCAGTAAAGCCAACCACAAAAATGAATAATATGTCTATTTTTTAGGGTTACCCAGAAAAGATAATACTTTCAGATAATTTGGCTAAATTTTATTCTCTACTTTCAATATCGTTTTATAACATACCTTGAAGTCTTTATTTTGTGGGCAACCCTGTTCATGTTTTAAATATATTTATTATGTGTTGTAAATACACACAACACAATTATTAGATGAAAAAAAATAACTTTAAATAATGATTTCTATGATTAAGTTTTAATAAATAGATATCTCACGCAGGATGGTCCAATGTAAATAAATAGATATCTCACGCAGGATGGTCCAATGTAAATGTGTTTTGTATAAGTATAGGACTTTTCATCTTAATTTTTTGTTACAGTCAAAATTTAGAAAAAAAACATTGTTGATCTCACACCATGAATTTGATTTGGAAATTGTTGTTATTCTATAGCCAACTCTAATGTACAAGTACAAGATTTTTCTTCCTTTACTTTTCTTTTTCTAATCAAAGTAAAATGAAACTATTTTTTATTTTACTTTATTATTGTAATTAAAAAATTATTGTTCATCTTTTGTTCATTTGTTTTATGAAAAATCTGGAAAAAAAAAATAAAAAATAAGTTGTTAAAAAATTGTTAATCGTACACCCCTAGAGAGATTAAAATGCAGGCTAAAGCCTCCTCAGATAAAAAGTTTCTTATATCCGGATAATCATTGCTAAAGCTAATTTTCGGTTTAAATTTTAGTTACAGAGATTTCAATATTTGATTAAAAGACTGATAAAAGTTGGTGTACTGATTGGTCATTGTAAGACCAACAAAAAAACCTAAATTTGAATAACAAAACCATAGAAATCCTTTTAAATACAAAATCTGGCTATTCCTTTAATAAAAAACCATACAAACTCTTTAATAACAAACCCTTACAATTCCTTTAATAGCAAAACCTGACAATCCCTGATATTAACAAAACCTTGTAACATCTTTAATAACAAAACCTGATAATCCCTTTAATAACAAAACCTTATAATCCCTTTAATAACAAAACCTTATAATCCCTTTAATAACAAAACCTGATAATCCCTTTTTATAACAAAACCTGATAATCCCTTTAATAACAAAACAGACTATCAC